CAGTGATACATCATACTGTGACCCAGTGATACATCACACTGTGACCCCCCAGTGACACATCACACTGTGACCCCCAGTGATACATCACACTGTGACCCCCCAGTGATACATCATACTGTGACTCCCAGTGATACATCACACTGTGACCCCAGTGATACATCATCGGGGGTCATTGGTTGAGTCAGACTCAGGTAGTCACAGTGAGAGGGTGTGTTGCTGGAGCTCCAATTGTCCTGATACTGAAAAAGGAAGTTGTAGTGAGTGAACTTTTGCTAGTGAGGGAGCTGTGTGGAGCTCTGAGGGCAGAGGTGGACTCACTGCGGGAGGAGCTTCGACAGATAAAGGAGCTAAAACAGACGAAATACCGTCAAGAAGAAACGAAAGAGGAACGCAGCAGTAGAAAGTCGTCGAACTATATTGTCGTAAAGGACAGGGGTCTTAAGAAGATATAGACAAGGCCACTTACAGATATCATAAGGACTTCCAACCCATTCGCCGTGCAAGAGGACGAGTGCTACGTGGTACTTCCCTCGAAAGTCAAGACCTAAGCAAATTTTGGTTGTTGGAGGAGATTCACAGGTGAGGTATCGGGATACAACTTTTTGTGCTAGAGATAGGGGGAACAGGTTAAGGGTTTGCAATCCGGGAGCAGGGATTGGTGATATTGTTAACAACATGAATGATATTATGGCTGGTAATGCGAATAAACCCTTTATTTGTATCAGTGCAGGTGGAAATGGTGTAGGACGAGTTAGGAGTGAGGCACTGACACAGAGATTTAAGACAACCATAGAATTAGTTAGGAGCAAGGGAGGAATCCCGATCATATGTGGCATTCCTCCAGGAAAGGGAATTGGAAATGTATGGTTGTCGAGGGCATCTGATGTCAATTACCGGCAGGATAAATATTGTAAATCAAATGCAATATCATTTATAGATAACTGGGAACTCTTCTATGGAAGAAATGACATGTATGCTCGGGATGGGGTGCATCTATCCAGGGCTGGGGTGGTTGCTGTTGCCAACTCGTTGGAACCTGTGGAGGTATTAAAGGAAGTATTAAAAATACGTGTTTGCAGGAGAAACAACTTGACAAAATGATCAAGGAAGGAGTGGAGCCTCAAAATAACAATACACTTACGGAATATTACATGAACAGTAAGAAACTAAAATAAGATAAAATAAGAAACAAAAATAAACGATTTAAATGCTCTTGTTTACATAAAAACAATCGATATTATTGCACTTACCGAAACGTGGATGAATGAAGAAAATAGAGAACTATTAGCTGAATATCAAATAAATGGATTTAAACTATTTCACACAGATAGATATATTCGACAAGGAGGGGGAGTAGCCATATATGTTAGGGAAAATTTGAAATGTAGTCTCAAAGAGGGAATCAAAACTGAGCTACACTCAGCAACTATTTGGCTAGAATTAAATGAAAAAGCACAAAATCTTATAATAGGAGTTATATATAGGCCACCAAATTTACACCGAATGGAAGCAAAGCATCTATGGGATGAAATATCTAGAGCATCTAGATCTAACAGTATTTGTGTCATGGGTGACTTTAATTTTAGTCGAATAAACTGGATTACCAGAACAGGGAAAAACGAAGCAGAAGATTTTCTAGAATTAATTGAAGATTGCTTTCTTAATCAACACATTAAATAACCAACACGGGGAAAATAATATTTTAGATTTAGTGTTAACTAACAGGAAATACAAATTAATGACATCGAAATAGGGAGTGAGCTAGGGAACAGTGATCACAAAGAAATCAGATTTAGCATAAAATGGAATAGATCTGTAGGAGAAAATTCTGTTAAAGTTCCGTCAGTACTCACCAGGTAGAGTGTGGTGTATGATGGTGAACCACCAGTACTCACCAGGTAGAGTGTGGTGTATGATGGTGAACCACCAGTACTCACCAGGTAGAGTGTGGTGTATGATGGTGAACCATCAGTACTCACCAGGTAGAGTGTGGTGTATGATGGTGAACCACCAGTACTCACCAGGTAGAGTGTGGTGTATGATGGTGAACCACCAGTACTCACCTGGTAGAGTGTGGTGTATGATGGTGAACCACCAGTACTCACCAGGTAGAGTGTGGTGTATGATGGTGAACCACCAGTACTCACCAGGTAGAGTGTGGTGTATGATGGTGAACCATCAGTACTCACCTGGTAGAGTGTGGTGTATGATGGTGAACCATCAGTACTCACCAGGTAGTGTGGTGTATGATGGTGAACCATCAGTACTCACCAGGTAGTGTGGTGTATGATGGTGAACTATCAGTACTCACCTGGTAGAGTGTGGTGTATGATGGTGAACCATCAGTACTCACCTGGTAGTGTGGTGTATGATGGTGAACCACCAGTACTCACCTGGTAGAGTGTGGTGTATGATGGTGAACCATCAGTACTCACCTGGTAGAGTGTGGTGTATGATGGTGAACCATCAGTACTCACCTGGTGTATGATGGTGAACCATCAGTACTCACCTGGTAGTGTGGTGTATGATGGTGAACCACCAGTACTCACCAGGTAGAGTGTGGTGTATGATGGTGAACCACCAGTACTCACCAGGTAGTGTGTGGTGTATGATGGTGAACCACCAGTACTCACCAGGTAGAGTGTGGTGTATGATGGTGAACCACCAGTACTCACCTGGTAGAGTGTGGTGTATGATGGTGAACCATCAGTACTCACCTGGTAGAGTGTGGTGTATGATGGTGAACCATCAGTACTCACCTGGTAGAGTGTGGTGTATGATGGTGAACCATCAGTACTCACCTGGTAGTGTGTGGTGTATGATGGTGAACCACCAGTACTCACCTGGTAGAGTGTGGTGTATGATGGTGAACCACCAGTACTCACCAGGTAGAGTGGTGTATGATGGTGAACCATCAGTACTCACCTGGTAGTGTGGTGTATGATGGTGAACCACCAGTACTCACCTGGTAGAGTGTGGTGTATGATGGTGAACCACCAGTACTCACCAGGTAGTGTGGTGTATGATGGTGAACCATCAGTACTCACCTGGTAGAGTGTGGTGTATGATGGTGAACCACCAGTACTCACCAGGTAGTGTGTGATGTATGATGGTGAACCACCAGTACTCACCTGGTAGTGTGTGGTGTATGATGGTGAACCATCAGTACTCACCTGGTAGAGTGTGGTGTATGATGGTGAACCACCAGTACTCACCTGGTAGTGTGGTGTATGATGGTGAACCACCAGTACTCACCTGGTAGTGTGTGGTGTATGATGGTGAACCACCAGTACTCACCTGGTAGAGTGTGGTGTATGATGGTGAACCATCAGTACTCACCTGGTAGAGTGTGGTGTATGATGGTGAACCACCAGTACTCACCAGGTAGTGTGGTGTATGATGGTGAACCATCAGTACTCACCTGGTAGAGTGTGGTGTATGATGGTGAACCACCAGTACTCACCTGGTAGTGTGTGGTGTATAATGGTGAACCACCAGTACTCACCTGGTAGAGTGTGGTGTATGATGGTGAACCACCAGTACTCACCTGGTAGTGTGTGGTGTATGATGGTGAACCATCAGTACTCACCTGGTAGAGTGTGGTGTATGATGGTGAACCACCAGTACTCACCTGGTAGTGTGGTGTATGATGGTGAACCACCAGTACTCACCTGGTAGAGTGTGGTGTGTGATGGTGAACCACCAGTACTCACCAGGTAGTGTGGTGTATGATGGTGAACCATCAGTACTCACCTGGTAGAGTGTGGTGTATGATGGTGAACCACCAGTACTCACCTGGTAGTGTGGTGTATGATGGTGAACCACCAGTACTCACCTGGTAGTGTGTGGTGTATGATGGTGAACCACCAGTACTCACCTGGTAGAGTGTGGTGTATGATGGTGAACCACCAGTACTCACCTGGTAGTGTGGTGTATGATGGTGAACCACCAGTACTCACCTGGTAGTGTGTGGTGTATGATGGTGAACCATCAGTACTCACCTGGTAGAGTGTGGTGTATGATGGTGAACCACCAGTACTCACCTGGTAGTGTGGTGTATGATGGTGAACCACCAGTACTCACCTGGTAGTGTGTGGTGTATGATGGTGAACCACCAGTACTCACCTGGTAGAGTGTGGTGTATGATGGTGAACCATCAGTACTCACCAGGTAGAGTGTGGTGTATGATGGTGAACCACCAGTACTCACCTGGTAGAGTGTGGTGTATGATGGTGAACCACCAGTACTCACCTGGTAGTGTGTGGTGTATGATGGTGAACCACCAGTACTCACCTGGTAGAGTGTGGTGTATGATGGTGAACCACCAGTACTCACCTGGTAGAGTGTGGTGTATGATGATGAACCACCAGTACTCACCTGGTAGAGTGTGGTGTATGATGGTGAACCATCAGTACTCACCAGGTAGAGTGTGGTGTATGATGGTGAACCATCAGTACTCACCAGGTAGAGTGTGGTGTATGATAGTGAACCTTCAGTGCTCACCAGGTAGTGTGTGGTGTATGATGGTGAACCATCAGTACTCACCAGGTAGTGTGGTGTATGATGGTGAACCATCAGTACTCACCAGGTAGTGTGGTGTATGATGGGGTCACCTGGTGCGAGGAGGGTGACGGGCCATGGGGCAGGTAGACTGGTGGTACTCTGTCTAGACGTTTTCAGAGGTGTTGTTGTTGCTCTTGTGGCTGCAGTACTTGAATATATAGACGTGGTATGATAGAATAGGTGATGATGGAGCAGGCCGAATCTCTCTTCCTAGAGAGATTACCGTGACATGGTGAACAATCAGTAGTCACCTGGTAGTGTGTGGAGTATGATGGTGAACCATTAGTACTCACCTGGTGTATGATGGTGAACCACCAGTACTCACTAGGTAGTGTAGTGTTTGATGGTGAACCATCAGTACTCACCTGGTGTATGATGGTGAACCATCAGTACTCACCAGGTAGTGTGGTTTATGATGGTGACCTATTAGTACTGACCTGGTAGAGTGTGGTGTATGATGGTAAACCATCAGTAACGAGGATGATGGAGCAGTGATGGAGGGAGGCGTTCTCCAACACCGCCCCCACCACCAGCGGCACCATCTTTTCAACATTTGTCCACCTGTGGCAGACACCAGCGCTAACACCTGCTCCAGCACCAACACCAGCACCATTGCCAACACCAGCAATCACCAACATTAGTGTCATCACTCTTAACAGCATTACCTGAGAGAGAGACTTAACATAATCAGGTTTAACAAGAAGTTAATTAAACAACGTGTTACAGTGTCCATCTAGTATTCTCCTCTTCCGCTTGTAAGTCATACTCCACGCCTTATAAATACACAAAAGAAGTGTCCTAATTTCGTTTTATAACTCTTTAGAGGCAGCAAGATGCAACAACAACAAGAAATTTATGTTTACGTTTCACTTGTGAAGAGGCTTGAAGGCGGCCCCACCATTAAAATGGCAGTGTGCCTCGGGAGGTATTAGGCTTTTCCTACTCGAGGAGACCCCCAGAGCATTGTGGGTACAGAGCCTGGTGGTGTGTGACTGGTTGGCGGCGGTGACGGGGTCCGAAGTCCCTGCAGTGGTTGCCAGAGTCAACTACAATAACAAAGGACGATTGACAGCGAGAATGCAGTTGACAAAGAGGATACAAAATTGCATAAAGTTCTGCTGTGAAGATGCTAGCCTCCGGAGGCAGGCGACACATATAGGTGCAGTCAGGAAACACAACAGAGTAGCCTACACTGTAGGGGAGATTTAGACTCATCTGTGAAGATGGAGAATTAGCGAGAGTGTGCAGAAAAGTGAGCAAGGAAAAGGCGTTTCAGAACTGTAGGAGGGGTAAAAGCCTAAGTCATGAGGTTAAAGGTCCTACAAAACATTAGAAGAGGAAGCCTCCCCATGGGAGTAAGGTTGGAGTGACATGAGGAGAAACAATTGTAACACGAGCGGAGAGAGAACCTTGCAAGGGAGACAACCGTACAGAAAGTGGAAGGTGGTGAAAGGGAACAGGGCCCACAGGAAGAATAATAGTCAAAGTACCACATAAGCAAGAGTGAGGGTGTTGTTGGAACCGTGCAAAGTAGCGAAGACAGTAGCGATGACGGCGATCGCTACTGAAGGGAGTAGGGACAGGACACCAGTTTCAATATTCAGGCACAGAGTAGGCATCAAACGAAAGGCACAAGAGCTGAAGCGTAACCCAGTATGGTGAAGGGCATCAAGAGTTCGAAGAGTTGAGGAAGAGGCAAACGAGTAAACAGGACAGCCATAATGGAGTTTAGACAGCACGAGAGAAGAATGTAAAGAGAGGAGGAGCGTGCGCCTATCAGCTCCCCAGGAAATATGGGACAAGACCATAAGTAAGTTAAGGACTTAGAGCATTCAACTCGGAAATAAGAGAAATGAGATGACCAAGACAAGCGAGTGTCAAAGAATAATCTTTAAGTTTAGCAGAATCCTTATACAAAAGAGGATGACCATAAAGCGACAGAGAGGGTCGAAGAACGACCTGCTTCCAAGTAAAGGTCATAGCACTAGTCTCAGTTGTAGAGAACTTGAAGCCATGATTGGTGGCCCAAGATGACAAGGCATCAATCGCAAGTTGAAGCCGCCATTGGAGGAAAGGCGAGTCATCACCCTGACAGCAGAGGGTAAGATCGTTAATAAAGAGATGAGAAAACGCCAAAGAGAAGAAAGGAAAAAAGACCACTGAGGGCATCCAGGAAAATAGTAATGCTCAAAACGCTACCTTAGGGTAAACCTTTGTATTGTCAAAAGGAGGCAGAGAGAGTGGTACCAAGCCTCACGCTAAAGGCATGACTAGAGAGGAAGCTTTATAAGAAGAGGGAGATTACCACGAAGGCCAAAAGAACGTATTTGAGACAGAATATGGTATCTCCAGGTGGTGTCATATGCCTTTCCTGGTAAAAAAGGACAGCAACCACAGAGGTCTTTGCAGCATAGGCAGTACGAATATAGACCTCCAAGTTCACCAAGACATCAGTCGTGCTGCGGCACTTGCGAAAGCCAAATTGAGAAGAGAAGAGATGATGATAGCGTTCCAAGAACCACATCAGACGGACATTGACCATACGCTCAAAGAGTTTGCAGATACAACTCGTTAGAGCAATGGGGCAGAAGTCTGTAGGGGATAACCCTTGAAAACCAGGTTTCTGAATAGGAAGAACAACTGCCTAAAGTCTGACAACGACTCCCAGACAAGGTTATAAACATTCCGTAAATACTGAAACAATCATAGTGGGAGATGGCGAAGCATCTCATCTGAGCCTGCCGCCTAGGACCGCAAACGACCGGGGCAGACTGGAGTTCTGAGAGAAAGAATCGTTATACGGAAGCTAAAGATGAGTGCAAAAATCTAAGGGACAAGATTCATGAAGTATCTTATGAGTAAGGAAAGAAGGAGGAAGATAAAAACCGGAGGTAACAGTCGAAAAGTTAAAACCCAGTTCGGTCACGACCAACACCGGATCTGCTACAATAGAACCATGGAGGTAAAAGACTAGCGAGACATCTGGAACAAACTTACCCGTTATCTTGTGGATTTTCTTCCAGATCAGGGGCAGAGGAATGTCATTTGTAATGGTGGAAACAAAAGATCTCCAACTCTCATGCTTAGCCATATGGATGGCCCAACGGGCCACTGCGCACGCCTTCTGAAACAAAATAAAAGAATCGGGCGTCCATCGACGATGAGCTTTCTTCCAGACTAAACGCTTACAGCAGACAGCTCAAGCACAGTCTGGATTCCACCAGAAAATGTGCCCCCCAGGTGGTAGAGCGAGAAACAGAGCAGATGGCAGCATCAAAAACTCTGTTGTGAAATAACAGGAGGGCTTGAGGGAGAGGCAGATCAGAGAGGTCGAAAAGGGTAGTGCGTAAGTTGAAGAATTTGCAGTCGGCTTTGGTAATATGCCACCTAGGGAAGGAGAGAGGAGGTTGAAAAGAGAAGAAGGCAATACGGATGGAGAAATGGTCACTGTTATGGAGGTCATCAAGAACCCACTAAGTGAAATCCAAATAAAAAGAAGATTATCAGAGAGAAAGATCAAGACAGGAGAGAGTGCGAGTGCGGGAGTCAACATGAGTGGGTTAACCAGAATGCAGAAGAGACAGAGGAGAAGAAGAGAGGACACATGGTTCAAGAAGGCAGCCCTGGGCATTTGTCAACATCACCCCAGAGGGTATACTGACAGTTAAAATCACCCAAGAGGAGCCCAGGAAAGGAGTCTAACAGCTGTTTAAGATTAGGAAGAGAAAGTGGGACATTTGGGAGGGAGATAAATGGAACAGACTGTATACCATTTACTCACAAAGATACGGGCCACAGAACACTGATTGTGTGACTGAAAACGTAGGGGGACGAAGAAAAAACATGATGGATCAAGAGAGCAGTAATGTTATGGGCCCCAGTAAGAGCTGGAGGGGAAGAGAGAAAGGAGTAACCAAGGGAGTGACCAGAATGAGCGCCAAGCATCGGCTCCTGGAGACAAACACAAGGCCGGGAAAACTGTGCGATCAGAAGTTGGAGTTCATGGAAATTGGCATAAAAACCATGAACATTCCATTGAAGAACAGACATAGACAAAAGAGAGAGAGCAGAAACAGAGATAACAAGGGAGAAACAAAAGCAAAGAAGAACACAGTAGACTAAGGAAGATCAGGACCAGGATCAGTAAAATCGGGATGATGGGGTAAAGGTAAGCAATGATAATGGAGTCAAGGGAGTGGAAGAACGGACAAGAGGCGAACTGACAGAGTCCGGAGCGCTAGGAGGCAGTGGAGAGGAAAATCGGCAAAGGAAATCGGGGCCAGGTAGGACAGAAACAGGAGAGGGCACAGGATCAAGCATGGCATCCAAGAGAGGATCTAGGACCAAGGGAAACTCCATAGCAGGACAGGCAACTCAGCCACTGAAATAGGAGGGGAAGCAGAGAGAGTCGGAGTCGGAAAGTGAGAATATATATTGTATCTTTTTACCATTTTTACCTGCCGAGGGGGAGGAAGGAGAGGAGCCAGGCTTTACGCTTCTGACGTAGAGAAACAGGTGTACCATCAGCAATATACTGGGCTACCATCTCGACAGTTTCAACAAGAGAAGGAGAATGGGAACGATCAACAGGAAGAACGCTGGGAGGAGGACGAACAATGGACCGAAGAGACAGGCGGTGAGCAGGGCCACGAGACAAAGAGGAGGGCTGAGAAGGAGTGGGGCGAGAAGGGAAAAAGGGCACAGAAGACAAGGAAGAACGGGAAAGAATCCCCAGATGGAGAAGTAAGAGGAAAACCCTCTGGCCTAGAACGCAAAGGAACAGACTAGGTGGTGGTGGTGATGTTGAGGTTCAAGGCCTTGAAACGGTTGTGAAACTGAGAAAGCAAGAGAGGGGTGAGGATAATTGGAATGCAACACACGAGCATAAGATATGCCAGAGAAAGAGTGAAGACGGTAAACCTGGCGCCAAGCCTCAGGGAAAAAGACAATGATCACGATGCTTCAAACAGAGAATGGCTTCCTCAAGTTTGTAGTGCACACATGCACGGGAGCAGGCAGGGTGAGGGAAGGGGGTCACCACAATTGATGAAGAGAGCTTGGAAAGAATAGAGCACTCCGTCTAAGAATGACCCAAGGTTACACATAAGGGGCAGAGAGAGAGAGACCTCACTTGTGCACTTGAAGGGACCATGCCCATATCTCCAGCACCTGCTGCAGAGGCGAGGAGAGGGGATGTACTCCTGAACGGAGCATCTGACACCATCAAGAATGATGGAAGACGGAAGGAACCTAATGTCAAACGTGACTTTCACAACGTGAAGAGCCTGGCGACGATCACGAGGTGGTCGAGTGAAGGTATCCACCTAGATGATAGAATGGCCTTGGGACTCAAGGATACATTTATTATCCTCACAGTCTTTCAGGTCCCTGTCACCAGTCGCAACATGGTACGGGTGGAGAACTGTATTAATGCTGGCATTTAACCAGGCATTTTTGGAGATGCGAACTGGGGTCTCCCCAATGCAGGACAAAGAATCCAAGAGGCCCACCGCCTCCTGAGAAGGAGCTGTAACTTCACGGG